GAGAGCGTCGACCCCTCTGGAGAGTTGGAGAGCGTCGACCCCTCTGGAGAGTTGGAGAGCGTCGACCCCTCTGGAGAGTTGGCTGCAGGTGACGACGGAGAGGCCTGGAGCTCTGCAGCAGACGGCGAAGAGACCTGTAGCTCTGCAGCAGACGGCGAAGAGACCTGTAGCTCTGCAGCGGCGGTGGCAGGGACTGACTCTTCTGCTGCGGCAGGAACTGACTCTTCTGCTGCGGCAGGAACTGACTCTTCTGCTGCGGCAGGAACTGACTCTTCTGCTGCGGCAGGAACGGACTCCTCTGCGGCGGCGGCGGCAGGAACTGACTCCTCTGCGGCGGCGGCGGCAGGAACTGACTCCTCTGCGGCGGCAGGAACTGACTCCTCTGCGGCGGCGGTGGCAGGAACTGACTCCTCTGCGGCGTGCAGTGTGGATGGTGGGTTTACAGAGGCAGGATCATGGTCTATCTTTGAAGTTCTGAGTCCAACAAGAAGCTGCTGATATTCCGGAAGCAGGATTAAACCGGGTTGGGATAGTAAAAACTTTTCGGCAAGGGTGAACAAAAAATCTAGACAGTCCGGGTTATCTTTAGCAGAACAAAAAAGGCTTTGCAGAGTGTGATTTATTTGGGCTAATTCATGGAGTGAATACGTGATTGATGGGCCAGTGTCTTTAAGTGAGGGTGTGGAGTCAGGTGTCGCCCCCACCGGAAACTTGAGAGGTGGGGCGGCGGAACACGCCCCCACAAAGTCACCGGAAGAATGCCCCAGAGGTACAGACTGGCCGGGTTGGACAGCCGCGGCGCGAAGTGACGGCGAGAGGCCGGACTCCGCCTCCACCAAGAACCTGGAGGGTGAGGCCACGGAATCCGCCCCTGTAACGTCAACCGGACCGGACCCGCCGAACCGAGCAGAAGTGGACCGGAGCCTCCGCGGGACGTCGGACCTCGCCCCCACCGTAAACCTGAGAGGTGAGGCGGCGGATCCAGCTCCCACAGAAACACCAGAACCAACTCTAAAATTCTGCTCAGCCGACGAAACCGGCCCGGTCGCCGCGGGCTGCCCCCGGGACCGCTTCCTACCTCCCCGGCGACGACGGGTGCGTCGAGGGACCGGAACAAAACCGAACTCCTCTTCGATCTCCTCGTCTTCCCCCGACGTCCATCCCGAGTAGCCGGGCGAGGCGGACTCAGAAACCGCGGTGCGGTGGCTTCCCCGGTACCGAGCTCTGTCCTCCTCGAGGGCCAGGAGTGGAGAGGACAGGATTTCCACCTCCTGGTCATAACATCCTTGTGGGTGGACAGGCCTAGTCCAAAACCCGCCGCACCGGATCGTGGAATTACTCATCTCGAGAGGCTCGGAGGAGAAAAAGAAAAAAGGTGAGCTGCCGAGAGAGCCCTGCCCGCTGGGTTCTAATGTGTGGTCGGGTCGTAATGTCAGGATCAGGTGGACAGGAACGAACCCAGTAGTGCAGACAGGACTCAACTCGGCAGATTACAAAAATAAGTATTTTAATGATGAAGTAAAAAGGTAACAAAACAATAAGCTGACGTGGCAGCAAAACTTACATGACTCAGGAAGCTCAGGGAAAATTCAGAAGACGCAGGAAACATGAAGACCCAACGAATACGACCCGACAAAGGAACAACACAGGACGGGGGGTTTATATACAAGGACAAGACAAGACGTGATTACAAACAGCAGGTGTGACGAGACAAAGGTGGCAACAATTAAACTGACGAGGAAACACAGACACAAACAGAAACAGCAAAAGGTGCCATCCTTACAGCAATGATGTGGAGGTGCCAACATCTAATATTTTATTCAGAATAGAACACAAATCACAGATCAAAAGTTTAAACTGAGAGAATGTTTCATTTTAAGGGAAAAATCTGTTTCTAAATTTCATGGCGTCAACAAATCCCCAAAAAGTTGGGACAAGTCCATTTTTACCACTGTGTGGCATCCCCCCTTCTTCTTACAACACTGAACAGACGTCTGGGGACAGAGGAGACCAGTTTCTCCAGTTTAGAAATAGGAATGCTCTCCCATTCATGTCTAATACAGGCCTCTAACTGTTCAATCATCTTGGGCCTTCTTTGTCGCACCTTCCTCTTTATGATGCACCAAATGTTCTCTATAGGTGAAAGATCTGGACTGCAGGCTGGCCATTTCAGTACCCGGATCCTTCTCCTACGTAGCCATGATGTTGTGATTGCTGCAGAATGTGGTCTGGCATTATTGTGTTGAAAAATGCAGGGTCTTCCCTAAAAGAGATCACGTCTAGATGGGAGCACATGTTGTTCTAGAACCTGAACATAGTTCTCTGCATTAATGGTGCCTTTCCAGACATGCAAGCTGCCCATGCCACAAGTGCTCATGCAACCCCATACCATCAGTGATGCAGGCTTCTGAACGGAGCGTTGAAAACAACTTGGGCTATCCTTGTCCTCTCTGGTCCGGATGACATGGCGTCCTAGTTCCATAAAAAACTTAAAATTGTGACTCGTCTGACCACAGAACAGTCTTCCATTTTGCCACACTCCATTTTAAATGACCCCTGGCCCAGTGCAAACGTCTGAGCTTGTGGAGCTTGCTTAGAAATGGCTTCCTCTTTGCACTGTAGAGTTTCAGCTTGCAACGGCGGATGGCACAGTGGATTGTGTTCACTGACAATGCTTTCTGGAAGTATTCCTAAGCCCATTCTGTTATTTCCTTGACAGTGGCATTCCTGTTTGAGGTGCAGTGACGTTTAAGGGCCCGGAGATCACGAGCATCCAGTAGAGTTTTACGGCCTTGACCTTTACGCACAGCGATTGTTCCAGATTCTCTGAATCTTTTGATGATGTTATGCACGGTTGATGATGATAACTTAAAAGTCTTTGCTATTTTACGCTGGGTAACACCATTCTGGTATTGCTGCACTATCTTTCTGCGCAACAATGGTGGAATTGGTGATCCTCTTACCATCTTGGCTTCTGAGAGACACTGACACTCTGAGAAGCTCTTGTTATACCCAATCATGTTGTCAATTGACCTAATTAGTGTTAATTGGTCTTCCAGCTGTTCGTTATATGCTCAATTTCCTTTTTCCATCCACTTATTGCTTCTTGTCCCAACTTTTTGGGGATTTGTTGATACTGTGAAATTTTGAATCAACATATTTTTCCTTTAAAATGTTACATTTACTCAGATTAAACTTTTTTTCTGTCATCTATGTTATATTACGAATAAAATATTGACATTTGCCGTCTCTACATCATTGCATTCAGTTTTTATTCACAAATTGTTTAGTGTCCCAACTTTCTTGGGATCCGGTTTGTATATAAATAAATAAATTATATATATATATATATATATATATATATATATATATATATATATAT